TTGAAAGAGGCTACGCTCTCACAGACAGAGCAGCCATCTTCCTGTGAACTCACCACCTGCAGCAGGATCAGTGAGGGGCTGGTGCTTTGTGAATTGGGTGCCGCTCTGACTGCCACCCCCCTGACCCAGAAATTGATCAAGGGGAAGAAGATGTATGGATGGATGGATGGATGGAGGTGCCAAAAAATGTCCTGTATTGATATATTCTGATTTTCATGTCCTCTTGGTTAGCTCAATTGCTATTTTGGTGAGACATACCAGAGCGTAACCAAGTGTACACATTTTTTACTTCATCTGTCATCTTTAATTCATACTGCACTGGAGATTAAACATTTCTCTTTTGAAATGTGATGAGTAAATAAACTGACATTGAAAGCAAAAAACTAACTATTTAAGTTAATTTCTTTTGAATTGCAATTAAGACATTAGCATGAACCCCTTATTCAAAGCAATTTTCATAAACATGGGTTGCAAAACACTTGCAAAGGCTTGATAAATGATGCACTCAAAACATGCCATATTCTGTCATTTACTCATCAACAACAAACGTGAAAAATAAAAAAATCTAAAGGTGAAATCCTCAACTGGCTTGCCCACTTTTTTCTTTGGTTCATCAAAATGTCATGAATTAAAATGTCCTTTTACATTGGATACAAGCCTTTGCCTTCACTCGGCTCAGTTAAAAGTTATATTTACAGAGAGGTGAGTCTTCTAATTGCAAACAAAAACAATAAAATCATCCATGTTTTAGTAAAGCACATATTTTACACCAAACTGAGCAACATTCCAAACAATAACATCTTTATTTCAAGATGCAGGTATCGGACCACTTCATAGATAGGGTTTCACAACGCTATCTATGAACAATGCAGGAATGTACCTTGAAAGAGTATTTTTAAAAATTATTTGCTAGCAAGTTTTTGTTATTTACCAGGATACACAGTTAATTACTTCAAAGAAAATGTAGTTTTTGGTCGGGCATTAATTTTTGCACTGAAATTCTCAGTTTACATATTGTATTTAACTGTTTTTATTGTAAAATGTACAAGAGATTTAAAAACATGTGACCTAACATCTAATGTTCATAATGACTGAAGAAATAAACTAGTACTATTACTATAGATAGTAGCAGTGGTCAAAATCAATACCCTGCCTAACACAAATGTTCTAAGTTCTATGATAATTATAGTAATAGTGCATCGGTTTTATATGGAATTTGGACACTATAGAAAAAAAAATTCTTATTCCATAGCCACTCTGACTGACGCAGGTAAGCGTCCATCAGCCTCTCCGACTTGCACCAACCATTCACATACACACCAGACTCATCCTTGTTGGTAAAGTGGTGAAGTGCTTTTGCACTCAACAGCCCACTGTGGCACCCAGTGTTCCCTGAGGTCTTCCATCATGGTACTAACCAGGCCCTGTCCTGCTTAGCCTCAGAGGCCTGACGGGATCTGGCTTGCTCATGCCCCGGCCACCATCTGCAGACTGTTGGCATAAACTCAACACATGATTCAAAAATATATTGCGAATGGCAGGTCTCCAGCTAATGACAAGGTCCAATGCAGGTCCAAAGTACCTGGCCAAATTTGACAATTGGGCATTTGTGTTAAGGAGTCTGTCATATTGGTGAGATGATAATGAAACAATGCCAATCTATGTCAAATATGTAGATAGAAGAGTGGGATACTAACTGATTTAGAAATACGGTACTAGAAGACATAAATGGGGAGGGGATTAGTTGCAGCAACTAGTGTCTAAATATATTGTGGAAAAACATTATGTATGGTGTTCCCTGGGGACCACGCAATTATCACACAATTGTTATGATTCAAAAAATAGAATGGGAAACATTTTGGTGACATGTGTAACAAGTTTTCAAAATTAAAAACATTAAATACTGTCATACGGCATATGCAATGTCAACTGTGAGGCAAAAATGGGGACAGACCCTGATCGTTCATGTGAAGACTGGTTATGTTCTTTTTAAGGTCGGGGAAACGATGGTCTGACTCAGATTTCAGTAAAACAAAAGGCAAGGCAAGTTTATTTGTATAGCACAATTCATACACAAGGCAACTCAAAGTGCTGAACAAAATAGCATTAAAATCATAAATAATCACAGAACATTAAAAAGGAAGTTAAAAATATAAAATCCCTCAGTTGTATGCACAGCTAAACAGAACTGTCTTCAACCTGGTTTTAAACATTGTTAGAGAGGAGGCCTGTCTCACATCTTCAGGAAGATTGTTCCAGATTTTAGAAGCATGAATCTGAAAAGCAGCCTCCCCATGTTTAGTTCTGACTCTGGGCACTAACAGGAGTCCAGTCCCTGTGCTCCTCAGAGTCCGGGCTGGTTCATATGGGACTAACATGTCACTTATATATTTTGGTGCGAGGCCATGGAGAGACTTGTACACAAGCAGAGCTGTTTTAAAGTCTATTCTCTGAGCCACAGGAAGCCAGTGCAGGGACCTGAGGACTGGACTAATGTGGTCGTACTTCCTGGTTCTAGTCAGGACTCGAGCTGCTGCATTTTGAATGTACTGCAGCTGTTTTACAGCCTGTTTGGAGAGACCTGTGAGCAGGCCATTGCAGTAGTCTAACCTACAGGAGATTCTCCCACCTCAGCTGTAGTTATCTGCAGTTCATCCAGAGTGATCATGGGCCTCTTGGCTGCATCTCTGATCAGTCTTCTCCTTTGAGATGAAAGTTTGGAGGGACGGCCGGGTCTTGGTAGATTTGCAGTGGTCTGATACTCCTTCCATTTCAATATAATTGCTTGCACAGTGCTCCTTGAGATGTTTAAAGCTTGGGAAATCTTTTTGTATCCAAATCCGGCTTTAAACTTCTCCACAACAGTATCTCGGACCTGCCTGGTGTGTTCCTTTGTCTTCATGGTTCTCTCTGCGCTTTAAACAGAACCCTGAGACTATCAAAGAGCAGGTGCATTTATACGGAGACTTGATTACACACAGGTGCATTCTATTTATCATCATCAGTCATTTAGGACAACATTGGATCATTCAAAGATCCTCACTGAACTTCTTTTCAGTTTTTTATTTGTTAAAAAAGTTTAAATTATCCAATAAATTTCATTCCACTTCACGATTGTGTCCCACTTGTTGCTGATTCATGACAAAAAAATAAAATTTTATATCTTTATGTTTGAGCCTGAAATGTGGCGAAATGTTGAAAGGTTCAAGGGGGCCGAATACTTTCGCAAGGCACTGTATACCTTTCACCCAGTGCAAGAAAGGTATGTATGACAGAGAACAATAGCTTTTGTAGCAACAAAATATAAAATGGAAAACGCATTGAAATGAAATAAGTCGTCCTTTCTAATCACAGGAACTTACTTCTTGAGTTATAACATGTACAAAATGTTCACATGGTGAGGTTTTCAAGTTGATGAATAGGCTTTCAGACATTCATGTTCAAACTGGCCGCACAATAGCTGAATGGGAAGTACTCATGCGTCACTGCAAGACACCCATGGAAGTTTGCATTTTTTCTCTGGTTTCACACGTCATGTTCTTCAAAATGAAAGCTATACTGTGATCCCCTGTTTCTTTTCTATTATGTATTTTTTTTAATGATCCCTACCAATGATTACTGAACAGGGATGTTGTTAGCATTTCCAGTCACAATGGCTGTAGCTGCATTCTACTCGTGTGTTCGCTCGTTGCATACCTCTCATTTACATTCATCCACGATTTCCATTTCAAACATCCGCAGGTCATTGAGCTCTGAACCGGCAGCTTGTTTTTCTCTTTTTCTTTTTTCCAACGCAGGGACAAAATCGCTAGAAGTGCTCTCACAAAGCAGCCCCAAAAGGTCTCACTACATTTTTAGCTACGACGGGCATGGCTCTCGCTGTGGCTTTGAGGCCGGCATCATTTGCATTTCTTTTATTTTTTAATTTTTTTGGTAGTAGTTCACTTTTGCTTTTTTTTCTCCTTTCTGGGCAGTTTCAGACGAGTGGAGATTATTGATGATGCAGCAAAATGGCCTTTTCATTTCTTTGTGTTACGTGTCTTACTCCGGGGCACGTCGTGGGGCTGTGATGTGATGTGAACACGAGCGGGAGAGAAAATGTGAGAGGAGAGCCCCCGGGCCGCTCATCAGTCATCCCGAGAAGGCGTTTCTTTTTTTTTCTGCACGTGTTGTGATCAGGGCTGTTTCATTTATAGACAGGGAGCAGGGACTATCAGACGGTAGAGATCATCTGCTGGGAATCGGTTTGACAAAAGACTAGTGTAATGTTGTGTTTTGTGTTTCTAGAGAAGAAATCATATTATGGAGTTTTGTTTCTCAAACTGTGGTGCTTCTGGTAACACCGCTGCAGTTAATTGATAAGATGAATTAATAAAAACATTATTGAATACACTGGCACGCCATCCCCTACATTATTATGCATACTTGAATCTAAATATTTCACCAAGGCCCAGACGTAAAGGAGTCATCTGGAGAAATAATGTATTATTTTAATTGACCTTGGAGTTATATGCAGTGAACGTCCTGTACCTGTGACCTATACTGTACATACCACACACACTATTCTAGGCTCTATGCATTTTAATTATGAAAACTAACAATTCATAAATATTATAGTCGAGTTTTTCTCTATTGCTACAACACAAAACCCAGTACTCTAAACCAAATGACCAATTGCCTAAACACATTTATTAAAACTTCCCCCCACTTCTCACAACCATAAACACAATTCTCTTGTAGACACTGTTCACAAAACACATGCACTTTTACTCAAAACTCTAAACACATTTTTCCTTTGCTAAAACACTTTTTGCATGTATCTCTGCTCCTATAATCATTGTGAGGCTCATGTGATGAAAAATGTCTCCCACTGTCAGCAAAACCTGAACACAATGAACAGACCTGGTGTCATTCAGAAAACACAACCACTCAGAACTGAAAACTCCTGTTGCAGATGATGTGACCACAACTTTATAAGTCAGTGCAGGTTCCAAACGAAAATGGATGATCAAGGAAGAAGGAGAGGAGTGTCAGAGGAGGGAGAGGAGCAGGTCAAGGAGGGGGAGGAGCAGGTCAAGAAGGGAGAGGAGCAGGCAGGGAGAGGAGCAGGCCAAGAAGGAGAGGAGCAGGTCAAGGAGGGAGAGGAACAGGTCAAGGAGGGAGAAGAGGCCAAGGAGGGAGAGGAGCAGGTCAAGGAGGGGGAGGAGCAGGTCAAGGAGGGAGAGAAGAGGCCAAGGAGGGAGAGGAGCAGGTCAAGGAGGGAGAGGAGCAGGTCAAGAGGGAGAGGAGCAGGTCATGAAGGGAGAGGAGCAGGTCAAGAAGCGAGAGGAGCAGGTCAAGGAGGGAGAGGAGCAGGCAGGGAGAGGAGCAGGCCAAGGAGGGAGAGGAGCAGGCCAAGGAGGGGGAGGAGCAGGTCAAGGAGGGAGAGGAGCAGGTAAAGAAGGGAGAGGAGCAGGTAAAGAAGGGAGAGGAGCAGGTAAAGAAGGGAGAGGAGCAGGTCAAGAAGGGAGAGGAGCAGGTCAAGAAGGGAGAGGAGCAGGTCAAGGAGGGAGAGGAGCAGGCCAAGGAGGGGGAGGAGCAGGTCAAGGAGGGGGAGGAGCAGGTCAAGAAGGGAGAGGAGCAGGTAAAGAAGGGAGAGGAGCAGGTCAAGGAGGGAGAGGAGCAGGTCAAGGAGGGAGAGGAGCAGGTCAAAGAGAGGAGCAGGCCAAGGAGGGAGAGGAGCAACATGTATTATGAATGCACGGGAAATGTAGGTACCCCAGCTTTAATTTAGTGAGTTTTAGTTTCAGGGCGACAGGTAGAGACATGGGGGACACTTCCAGAGGCTCACATAATTCAGCTGTGTTTCTCTCACAGCGGTGGATTTATCGCGTCCACAGGTTGCGCAAACATTCGCACTTGTCCTGTCCGCGCTGGTCACATGGGAATCAGTCCCTTGCAGCACCAGAGCATGTGGAATCCAGTTCTACATACATAAAAAAACAATAAGTGTCCAACAGTCACGCGGGGGGCACCCCCACTATTTGGCACTCCCCCCCTGTCATCGCACCACGCCCCCCCACTATTTGAGAAGCACTCCCCTAAACATTGTGTTTTCAATTGTTTCTGTACTATAGTATCTTTTGTGTGTAATGGATCCTCCATAAAGCATTTTCTGCTTTTTGTAACTATTCTCATAAAACGCACAAATCTACAGTAAATGGCCAAATGCATCCTGGCAGGTGTGATACTGTAAAAAGAACAGTCTCACATTCTGAAAATTGTGTTTTCAATTGTTTTGGTGATGTGGTTAATGATGCTCATAGTGTTCACATTTTTGCAGACCATGAGAGGTATTTTGGTGTGATGGGTTTGTTTTGAGAATATGACTCACTGTTTTGGTGTGATGGGTTGGTTTTGAAAAGAGACTGTGTTGTTGTGTGTACGTAGCTTTAGAAAAGAGGTTTGTGTTTAGAGTTTTGAGAAAAGGGAGGGCAGTATCGTGAAATGTGTTTAAGCAAGTGAAGAAGATGACAAAGTCTGGGGTCGCGTCTTTAATTCAGACAGAAGACATGTTTTATTGTTGATGGTAGAGACAGCACGAACAAAGCACACGAACAACAGAATGCAAGTGTATTATACAGAGCGGAGGCATGGAGACCTCCAATCAGCAGCTGCCACAGTGCCATGTAGCTTGGCCTTCAGATAGACAAAACAAGGGAAAAGTACTGGCTTCTGCACATTGATAGAATGATGAGTTTAACTTACAAAAGTTGCTTAAAAGTGTCATGAAATCTCACACAATATAGAGAAAGACTAAGTGTGTACGTTTTTATTTATATAGCGCCTTTCACAGACCCTGCAGAGTCACTAAGCACTTTGGCTTTTTTGCTTCTGCCTTCTCCTTTTGAGCTTTCTTTCTTATATGTGCCTGTAAAAAAAACTCCAATATTACTACTACTACAAAGCGCCATACAATTGTTGAGTGCATTTGTCTCTCACTCCACACAGACAGAGGAGCAGGTCGCCAGTACACAGGAGATGCATGTCAGACCTATTGTACATGTTTTTAGTCGTAGGGGAAACCGGAGCACCAGGAGGAAACCTACACAGACACAGAGAACATACAAATCCACTCAGAAAGGACCTGTTCCGACCGGGATTTTAACCCAAGACCTCCTTGCTGAGAAGAGTTTTAACCAATCCACCGTGCCGCTTAGGGCCACACTTTAAATGGCATTATTCATTCACTCCAAACACAGCTGTGATAAACTAGTGGTGCTCCGGGGCAGACAGACAGAAGTGAAGCAGCTAATCGGTGCCTCTGACCCCCGCCAATTATTCAGACACACACTCCACTCATACAAGGAGGTAATGTGGGTAAAGTGCCTTCCCAAAAGATACAATGATTGTTTGGTACAGCCCTGTGTCACTTGATAGATAGATACATAGAAAGATACATAGATAGATAGATACATAGGTACATACATAGATAGATAGATATTGATCCCTGTAAGAAGATTTCAGGTGTCCTGTAGTAGCAGAAACACATCCTTCCATACACACAAAACAAAGTAATACCTCATTTTAATAGAAGAACACAATAGTAATAACATTATTTTACTTGGGTCTTCTTATTCTCATAATCTATCCTATGAATCTTCCCAGCCCCTGCGCTCCTCCAGCAGCAGACTCCTAACCATTCCCAAAGTCAGGACACACACTCACGGTGGGGCATCTTTCCAGCACCACGGCCCCAGTCGCTGGAACAGTCTGCCAGAGGAGCTCGGAGCTGCGGAGAACAATCATATCTTTAAAAGCAGGCTCAAGACACACCTTTTTAGATTTGCTCTTGACTAGTATTTATTATTCCATTTTATATATTCTATTTATCTTCTAGTCTTGTATATATATTTTTTTAAACAATGTACTATTATTATTAATATGTATCGTGATAGTTTCCTTTTAGTCTCACATTTTAATGTTTCCTCTGGAGGAGCCATCTGCACTGAGAGAGGTGGTCGGCTGTGGCTGTGGGGTTCTGGCTCTTGGACCTGGCTTTATGTCTCCTCTGGGTCCTGTGTTGTCCCCTTTGGCTGCGGGCGGCTCTCTGCTCCTGGTGCAGACAGCTCCTTGCATGGTGCTTCTACAGCTGGATACATCTGCACCCTGCCAAGTGTCTCTCTACATGGTTTTACTGTTTTACTGGTGTGTGTGTGTGTGTGTGTGTGCATGTGTGAGCGTGCGTGTGCGTGCGTTCTTTATCCATCCATCCATCCATTTTCTACCCTTTAATCCATTTCTGGGTCAGGGGGGTGGCAATCAGAGATGCCACCCAAGTCTCAGCACCAGCCCCTCACTGACCCTCTGCAGGTGGTGAGTCCACAGGAGGACAGCTGCTCTTTGAGTGTGAGCATAGCCTTGATCTTTCAGTGGGGGCTTTGGGCAAAGTGGGGTTAAGTGTCTTGCCCAAGGACACAACGACAGCAGTTATCAGTGGGAGTTGGTGGAGAAGGTGTAGAGGTGGGAGAGGTGAACCCACGACCTTCTGGCCTTAAGGCCAATGCTCTACCAACTGAGCTACTGTCGCGTTCTTTATGATATATGTATTTTGGGGTGGGTCTGTTGGGTGGTCGGGGGGGATGGTTTTTAACCAAACTCTAAAGCACGTTGTGCTGGATTTTCTGTATGAAAAGCGCTTTATAAATACAATTTGATTGATTGAAAATGCTTTAGGTCATAGCAGCAGAGGTAGTGATGTTTCCAGAGGTCTCCCATCGCGGTACTAACCAGACCCTACCCTGCTTAGCCTCAGATACCTGACATGATCATGCTCTCACATGCAGGTGGAACCACAAACTTTAGCCAAGACCTCAGATAAAACCTTCAAAAATGACATGCGCTGTTAAAGGTAAGTAAAGACTAACCTACAATGATCTTCTTAAACATTGTTCCGGTAGATAGACTGAACAACCATAGACTCCTGCATTGAACGACTTTATCAAACTAAGAAACTAAATAAGCACAGTCGCACTACAGACTGCTCTCTCAAATGGATGTCGGTCCACAGCCTTCTCTGACAATAATAGAATGTCCTTTACAAACCACCTTCAACTGAGGACGAAAGAAAACCAAGACTGTGATTACAAATATACATGTGCACTGTCAAAAATAAGAAATAATATTCATTGAAATTAGTAAATACATGAACTGAATGATTTGTTAGAAAGCATTCTATGTATCAAATTGTTTTGTGCAAATGTGCCTATGACTCAAATACAAAAAGGGAAGACAGCCCAAGCAAAAACAAAATAATTTCTGCTCTGGATAAAGTGTCCTTAGTGTCTACGATTTCTCATCAAAAGAGAACAGACAAAATTTTTCATGCTCGAATAACTAAGATAATTCAAATTCAGAAAGCCAAAAGAAATCAGGATTTTTCTTTTGAGTGATTCCACAGCAATACGTTCTTAAATCCTGATACACAAGGCAGTAAAACAAAAGAAAAAAAAAAACACACACATGAATCCCTTCTGGGACTCCCTTGTAATGCCCAACTTCCACCTATAGGAGAAGGACTCACACACACTGTCTTAATTTTAAATATTATTTCACTTTTTATCAGTGAAGAGGCAGTCTTTGATGAGTGGTTGCATAGATTTTGCAGCCACTATATGCTCTCCTAGTGTTTAGTCCGTCTTCCGCCAGATTTTTGCACCTTTGGCTCTTCAACTATTAATACATCGTTAAGACCAACTTCACCGTCTCATTATTTCTATTAATTTTTAGACTCCCAATTTTTGTGCAAGTATTTGCAAAAGTACAAGTGCTTTTTTCCCATTGACCACTACATGCTCCCCATACAACACATTATCACATTAACCAAATCATTGCAACAGGTACAATACTTCACAACACATTACATGGATATGCAGATGCAAGTTGAAGTTTTAGAAAAAGGTGGTGAGTGATGATGATGAGTAGTATCTTTTTATCCCGTTAGAATTAGAGTCCAATTCACCACCAGAGGAATCCCCAAAATAAAATCAGAAAAACACATGATTCACCTTACAACTTATACAGCACCACACAACACATACAGCACCTCACCACACATACAGCACCTTACAACACATACAGTACCTGGCAACGTATATACAGGTAGTACCTTACGACTAATAAAGCACCTTAAAACACACACAGCACCTTACAACACATAAAGTGCCTTACAACAAATTCATTCTATGTATCCACTCACAATGCCTTTGCCATTGCACAAATTCTAGTTTGTAAATAACTCCTTAGTTTTGACTTTGATATCACTGATCATTTCCATTGATTCTCATATTTTTCACATTTTATTTCACATATTTTACACTGTGGATTGTTCAGAAATACTGGACATGTACTATTACAAACTGTGTTTAAAGAAATTCCAGTTCCATTATACTGTGCTGACTCAACCTGTCCATATTAAAACCATAGACTGTATATATTAACGGACAGAGTCACGCCTATCTCCGCTGTTCAAACTAATGGGCCAAAAAATGTGCTCTACTGGAGCTATCCAAAATGGCCGCCCACAAGAAAATGGCCGCCCACAAGAAAATGGTGAAAAAACGCATCTGCGCATGCGTCAGCCGGCGAGAGCTCCATTCATTTAAACGAGTGCCTTCAAAAATTCACAGCGAGTAAACTAGAGTGGTC